GGACTCTGTGATCAGACTGCCTGATGCATGGCAAAGCAAGAGGGGCCTCAGTTCTGAAAACTGGTTCTACCCTTTCCTGGGTGTGTGACCTCAGGCGAGTTAACCTAATCTCTCTGAGCCTGTTTTATCCACTGCTGAGGTTGTTTTATATATGGGAAGTATTTAGTGTCTGGCCGAAAGCAGGTATTCCAGAGACCAGGCTTTGTCTGTAATGAACACTTTCCCACCTCCATTTCCTGACTGGCAAATCCAAAAGAAAACAAGCCTGTTACGTGGCAATATGGAAGGCAAAACCCTGCTCCAATGGAGAAACACATTCCTATTCTGACAATGGGGAAAAGCCTAGCAACTTCCTCTGGATGTTCTAAATACCTAGGCAGTTGTTAGAAAAGGGACAGCCTGGAGTTGTCCCTCAACCCCATCCCCAATGCCCCCAGGAAAACGGAGTCTAGGAAGAAAGGGAAAGGAGGGTCCTGAATTGTTCAGCAAGCCTGAAATCAACTTTTAAAATAATCTAGGTTTATTTTAAACTGTGGCTAATTCTAATTTGGGCAACAGTTCAAAAAAAGTCCTTCAAAGTAGATGATGACCAATATTTTTCAGAGCACCTACTCCACTTCTTACTACTAGATCTCTTCGTGCCATCTGAATTGAGCAGGGTACAATAGTTTTTGAAACTGCCCCACCACTAACTGTAAACCGGCAGGCAGACTGTGGGCCTCTTGGGCCTCACCTCCACAAGGGAGATGTAAACACCTAACTAGACAAAATGGCTCTTGTCCACCTGCTTTGCGCCTTTCTCAAAGCCCAACTTTTTTACAGTACTCCTGCTCATTGTGAGAATGAACTGAGGCTGAAAGAGATGGGAAAGAGCTCTGAGACAAACAGGCCCCAGGAAGAGAGTCCTGGCAAAGAGAAGACTGAGCCACAACTAGTGATGTCTAAAAAAATCCAGGAGGTCAAATGGGGGTTTGAGAGCTAGAGATGGGAAGATGGAATTCTGCCCAGGAAAAGTTGGGGGTGGTAATGGACAAATTCTATAAGCTACAGACCAGTGAGCTTGAAATCAAGTCCAGGCATGGTTGTAAAATAGACTGTTCCAATATGATTTCTAAGGACTTACAAGGGGAAATAGGAAATCTCTAGGAGTCATTCAGGGTTGACCAAAGATTAAGACATGCCAGACCATCACATCTGTGTCCTGCTGTAGCATAATGGGTGCCTACGATGTGCCAAGCACTATATAACACATTTTCTCATGCGCATCTTCAAATGATTCTACATCTTGATGCAGTACCTCCTGAGCACCTACTATATGCTGGCCTCTAGGCAGATGACTTTACTGCATTTGTTCATTTACTCCTTTTTTTTTTTTTCCTTAGACAGAGTCTCACGCTGTCGCCAGGCTGGAGTGCAGTGGCATGATCTTGACTCACTGCATCCTCCGCTTCCCGGGTTCAAGCTATTCTCCTGCCTCAGCCTCTCGAGTAGCTGGGACTATAGGCGCACACCCCCATGCCCAGCTAATTTTTGTACTTTTAGTAGAGGTGGGGTTTCACCATGTCGGCCAGGAAATGGTCTCGATCTCTTGACCTCGTGATCCACCTGCCTCATCCTCCCAAAGTGCTGGGATTACAGGTGTGAGCCACTGCCCCCAACCCATTTGCTCCTTTTAAAAACCATAATAGTTGATACTATCATTCACTCTGTTGTACAGATGAGGAAACTAAGGCTGAGGAAGTTAAGTAACTTGCCCGAGGCAACAAAATTTGAATTTGGAAGAGCTGGGACTGAAAACCCCAGTATTTCTGACCTCAGAGCCCATTAGGGCTCTTAATTACTGAGCTAGTTCTCCTGTCTGTATGTAGTGAGCTTTAAGATACCTATATTACAGAGGAGAAAACAGAGACCTGAGAAGGGTTAAAAAATGTGTATGAAGTTACACAGGTAATAAATTAAGACAGCTGAAATTCAAACCCAAGTAATATCTGCTGCTGAAGCCCAGGTTGTCTCCAGTACAGGAGAAAACCAGCATGAAGCATTTGGCTGACATTAGCTGCCTTTTCTAAGGCACTATCAGAGACCTGGGCTTAAAGAAGCCAGTTCAGACTGCAAAGGATTTTAAAGATCAAAGCTGGTATTTTAACGGACCTTGGACAGCACACAAGGTACAAACCCCGAGGGTTACAGAGGTGTTAGTGATCCAGCTCTAAAAAGTTGAAACAGATATGCAGGCCACAATGGCTTTCTCCTTTTTCAAAACTTGCAGCCAGCTTATGATCTAGCCAACAGGACATTATCTCTTCTTTTTGCCTTCTCCTCTCTAAAATGGAGATAATAATCCCTACCTGGCCTTGCAACAAGACTATCAGAATTGTCCAATGAGATAAAAATGTCAAGGTGCTTTGAAACCGGTAAAATGCCATGCACATGTGAATTACTGTTATTACTCTAGTTATCTATGCCTCTTCTGGTTAGAATTCATCATTTTTGCCTATATTCCCTGACACAGGACACACGAAATCTAATATCATCATCTGCCTCCCTCCTGCAATTACAACACTGATTTTATTTGCCTGGTGTCATGCTGTGTACATGTACGTATTCCCTGTGAGACTTGTGTGCATCCTGAAGGCAAGGATTACATCTGCTCCTCTTTGGATTCCTCACAGAGCCCTTGAGAGTCTTATTTGAACTAATGTTACCCGAGTCACACCACAATGAATTATACTATCTAAGTGGTACTTACAGTGTAACAAACTGGGGAGGACACCGTAGCCTTGGACTTTGCCTTCTAAGAACAGGGAATCTAGCTGAGGAGAAACCAAGAGAGACCCTAGAATTTACTCCATTCTCACACATGGGGGCTTACCCTCCCCCAGCTGGGTCTCTATTGTTCCGCTTCCCTTCATCCCCTAAAATTCTCTGTGGCTGCCAATGCCCCGTTTAAACACACCATTCTAATCTACTTGTGTATTGTTTTTCAAAAAGGCACTCTGTCTTGTTCATTACGTTATTCCCAGCACCTAACCCAGTCCTAGAACAAAGGATACCCTTGATAACTGTTCACTGAATAAAGTAATGAATAAATGAATATACACAGAAAAACATCTGTACCTTGGAATATCACCACGCTTTTTGCATCCTCGGCATTTCCTTATTTGGGGGAAGATGGGCAGGAAAGGGAGAAAAAGGAAAAGGGGACTGGCATTTATTGAACACTTACAATATAGGGGTCACTGGGCTAAAGTTATTACATATGCTTCCTTATTTAATTTTGACAGTGGAGGACAGTGGGGTTGTTTACCATGCTAAGATCACAGACAAGGAAAGTTCTGTTTTACAGAGAGAGATGATGTCCTTTGTGGGGAGTAACGGGGATGGAGGGGACACCCCCATGTTGGGAAAATTGAAGTCTAAGAGCTAAAGAAGGTCATACAGGTGAGGGGCCAGAGAGAGGCACACAGGACAGGGTCAGGAGACCCTCAGGAATAAGCCAGTGACACTTTTTGGGCTTGTTTCCTCATCAGCAAAATGAGGGTGACAGTCTATAGCCTAAGTTCTTTCACAACTCCGTGACTCCATGTTGGAATACTTCCGATTAAACCCATCTTTTCTTGTGTGTGGAATGAATGAAAGAATGAATAAATGTACAAATGAAGACGTGTACGATTCAGTGAAGCCTCTGAAACATACTCTCTTGCTGCTATCCCCCACCCTTGGGTGTGGCTCCACCTTTCTGACCCCAACCTCCCCAAGGTGTGCCATTATAACTCCCGGCTGCTAACAGACCCGCCTCCCACTCTGAGTCCCCATCAGTCTGAAAAGACCAGGCGGCTGCTCTCCACTACCATCTACCACTCGTAGGACGCCACTACGTGGGTGAGTAAATAATGATTCTTCCAGGCAGGTAGATTTCTTTTGAAAACTGAGCACCTCCTGACCTGTTGGCCTCCCTCATCTCTGAATTTGCCTGTTATGGTGTGAATGATCCAGCACCCAAGCCAGACAAAGGCCCTTGAGCTAGGCCCCTAGCTGAGGTGGACAAATAAAAATACTCAAGGATATGCCTCCAGGAGCAACACTCAAATGAGGCCCAGGGGGCAGAGAATGGCAAAGCCTGAGCCCTACATCAACCCTAAGCCAGGACGTGTTTATCAGAGGGCAAGTGAAGCCATGAGTCAAACAAGGGTCTCTCATTTGCTTTCTGGTTGTTCTCTGCCTTCTTAGTGGTGTTTATAGATCACGATCTGTTACAGCAAGGGGATATCTTACTAGACTTTCCACGAGAGAATTCTCCCTTCATATGCTAACCTCTCCCACAGAACTGGCACTCTGTGTTTTAATAACATGTTTACCTCCATCACTACCCTCTCCTGCTTCCCAATGTCTTAGTCTTCTTTGGATATCCCCAAGTTCCTAGGCTCGGAAAGCATTTGGTCAAAGTTAGCTGACTGAATGAATAAACAAATGAACAAACATATATAACCCCTCTTATCTTCAATATTGTAAGAGGATACTGAGGCAGAGAAGTTAGTTAACCTGCCCAAGGTCATATAGCCAACTACAGGCTGGGGGTGCCTGAGTTAAAAGCCAAAGTTAACCCTGTCTTAGCTCCTCCATTACATGATGTTGAACAGGAGCTAACAGTAATCAAGCATTAACAGAATGTCAGGCACTATGCTGTGTGTCACAAGGCTGTAATATGATCATTCCCATTTTACAGATGAGAACACTGAGGGTCAGAGACATACACGCTCTTTGCCTAAATTGCTCCTCACTCTCCCCATCTACTGATTCCTGTTTCGGTAACAAAAATTCATCCTTCAGGCTCCAGCCTAAAACGTGTTTCTTTCAGGAAGCCTTCCCTCTCTGACCCCTCAAAATCTGGTGGGTAGTTCCCTCTGCTGTCCCACAGTCCTCTATGGTTTTGTCCCTATGATGGCATTTATGTACTGTGCTGTCACTGATTGTTTCAGGATCTGTTTCCCTCATCAAACTTTAAACTCCTCAAGGGCAGAGGGCAAGGTCTGTATTGCAAATATACTGAATTCTTACACTAGGCAAGATCCCTGGCATGTAGCAGGAGACCAGAAAGTATTCATGGAAGAAAATACGGTCACAGGAAAGGAAGGAAGAATGGAAGTAAGGACATGAGCTTCCCAAAGCCACAGAGTTGGGAAGTAGGGAAGTTGGGATTTGAATCCAGGCCATGAAAACATACAACCTCCTCTTAAGGGTAGGGACCCTTTTATTTTATTCTTGTGGATTTGTCTTGGAACTTGGCACATTACCATTCTCCTATTAACATGTGTTAATCAATAGACTTTTAAGCTTTCACAGATGAGGGACAGTGGGTGTGATTTTCCAGGATGCCTGCAGTCCTGAGAGGATAGGGTGGGTGCCCTATGCATACTTGGGGCTCCAGCTGATTTATGTTGAGTCCAACCCATTGTAATGATGATGGTGACTCAGATCAGGGAAGAGCTATCCAGTGGTCTGTGCAATGGCCTTCAAGGCCTGTGGGATGGGAGAGCCTAGAAAGATCAAGACACTGAAACTATGCTTCAGGTCAAGTTTTTCTACATGTGTTAGGACTAAAAGAGGCATCTAATGATGTAAAATGCAGGGTGTCTTACCACCCCAGAGGCTTAGGAGTGGTTTCTGGAGTTTAAACTCAGTTCATAATCATGAAAAACAGGTAGTTTCCCTGGGAGTTGAATTAAGTACGAAGAATTTCTGTTTTTGGTGTACTTCCCCACAAGCCCCCAAGAAGTTTATAAAAGGCATAGCATACAAAGCACACTGAAAATACAAATCATTCACTTTAAGATTGGGAAACATTTTTTCCTCTCCGAAAATTTCAGTTATCCCCATCCCCCATCACCGCTACAAGAACAATATAGCTTTTACAAATTTTTACATTTATGATTTCTCTTTGAGATTTTATTTTAATAAAGAACTTTACTAACTTTTGAAGCTGCAAACCATATGCGACTTTTCGTGTCCCTGTGAACCTCTGTAGACTATGATTTGGGACACTGACTTGCCAAAGCAATGGTAGAGTTCGGGAGTGGACAAACTCCAGCCTATGAACTAAGTGACTAGAGTTGAGACAGAACTCTACCTCTGCCTCCCTAAGTGACTCTGGGGAAGTCCCAATGTAGTTTCCTTTTCTATGACAAGGACATGAAAAGGCCTCTCTACTGACTCCTTGGACCATCCAAAGATCTACTGAGCCACTACCTTGGGGACATACTTTAAGAAGCAAATGACACCTACAAATATAAGTAAATTAGGGTAAGAATAAATCAAAGAAGAATGAAGCTTCATATCTAAATATATTATCTAGATAATGAAAACCTTCATAAGGGCAAAACCATATTTTATTTAAACTTTGAGGATATTCCTAGACTAGATTACCACCTTCTTCAAGCAAAGCACACTGACTCAGAGTTTATCAATTACTGTCTTCAGGGGCTATGGAGGCAATGAACTTGTGTTATACTGATTTCCTCAATACTGACTGGGCTCTATCTTTTACAGTTCTGGATTCTTATGTTCTGAAAGCATTTTTCTGTCTTTCTCTCTCTGGTAGGCAGTCATTTCTTCTGATAGTCAAGGCTGCTGCCTCTCAGATTTCTTGATCCCTGCTTCTAAACCACTTTAGATTGGAAAACCTGATTAGTTAAAATAGAGTGCAATATAAGAACCTATTTAAAGTTCTGTGAGCAAACCAAAGGAGTTTTATACGTCTTTATATTCATCTTCCTAAGGTCATGTGCCTCCCTGCTCAAAGCTTTCTAATGCTTTCCATTCCTACCAAAACGAGTTCAGACATCCCAGGCTGGTCGTTTTCAAGTCCTTCCATCTTCTGTCCTCAAAGCACATTTGCATTATTCCTCTTAGTGTGCTCCAGGTATTTTCCCATGCTCATGAGTGCTGCTCAGCCTCCTCTTGTGCCTTGAAACACTGCCCACCCTTCAAACCTCAGTTCCTTACTGAAGTCTCTCCATGCCCTCAGTTACGAATAACCACTCCAAGCCCTGAACTCTCATATCCATTTTGTCAGCATTCTCCTTTGGCATTTATCACTTTCTGACTTAAACTAATACATGTTGTTAGGATCATGTCTACTTCTTTTTACTATCCTGAAATTTCCTTGGAGAGGTTCCCTACAATCCCTGTTACTGCCTCTTGCTGAATGAATGCATAAATGAGTGAGCAGTGACAAATATTTTGTCAGCTCTTATTCTCTGACCCATGTTCGCCAATGTTCCCATAGCTGAGGCTGCTGCATACATAAGCTCCTATCAGATTCACTATGAGTGGGAGTGACTCTTCCTTGAGACAACTGATAAGCCAAGTGGCTGTCCTTCCCTAGCCTCCAGGGCACTTGGTCTCCCTCTCCCCTTTCCCCTCCCAGAAGAGGATCTGGATGAAGCATTCCACCCATGTGGAGTGGTAGGTGGCCTGCTGGGGCACTCACCGCTGCCAAGCCGCAGGAGCAGCACGTCCTGGAGCCTCCGGTTGAGGTCACGGAGCTCCTTCATTTCAGACACAAGTGCCCCGTATTCCTTGAGCTTCTTGGCCTGTTGTACCAGCTGCCTGCGAGTCCGCTCCAGCTCCTGCTGGAGGTGGCGCATCTCTTCCTGCTGCTGCTGGTAATTGCGCAGCAGCTCCTCATACAGAGCCCGGGGCACCACAGCATCTTCTAGACTGTCCATGTCCTCTGTGCCTGGCGAGGCCTCCACGAAGACCTCTTCCGGACACGTGCTATGGCCCAGGCTCAGGCCGTTCTGCTTCTCTAGCCGAGCCACCACGGCCTCGATGCTCTTGTGCGCCACTTCGCTCGGCTTCCGCCCCTCAGGTCTCTGTGTAGGACAACGAGAATCAGTTCAGGCAAGGGCAGCTGGGACTTTCTTGGACTGCAGCTCAATATTTCCCCAGACAATCCTAAAATCACAGAATCACAGAACATCAGTGCTTGGAGAAACCTGTGCAAACACTTAGTCAAAGCCTTTCATTTTATAAATGGGGAAACATTTTATAAATTTTATAAATGGGGTTCTGAGTGGGGAAGAGGCTTGCCCAAAGTCATAACCAGGATACTGATTTCCCAGGCCTGCACTTTTTCCTTTCACCACTCTGCCTCCTGGATGCATATATCATGACCACCCTTCCCAATTCCCCAGGCCCCAGCCCACCCACAATGCCTAGGCAGTGGCTTGCGCATGGGGGTGTTCAATATGTATTTGTGGAGAATCAGGGAGAAATCAGGCCAGGCCAACTGATCCCAGAGGAGTCACAAATTTCTTCAACAACAAAAACAAAAAATTCCTCCCCTAAAGGCAATTCACCATGTAAACTTTTCATCAAGAATGCTTTAGATGGAAAGGATGTTAAAAACTCTAGTCTACTCTAATCTAGGGAAGAAAACATGTCATATTTTCTCTGTTCCTCCTCTGCCTACTCACTCAGAACTGGCACTCAGTAGGGGCTTGAAAAATGTTTACTCAACCGAAAAGTTCAAAGAATTCTAGCACTGAAAGGTACTTTCAGTTTCACTTCCTCATGTTCCAGGTGAGAAAACTGAGGGTCAGAGAGGGGAAGGACTACACTTAGGGTCACATAGTGAGATACAAACAGAGCCAAAACCAGAATTTGGAATCTAACTTCCAGTACAAGGCTCCTTCCCCCCACGTCTGCCAGCCTCTCCCTCAGCAAGACAGTGGATAGAGAGAAGAAAGTTAATTTACACAAGAATTATCCAGGACTCCCCCAGGGCTTGGGGTTCTACTGCCAGAGGAAATTCTAGCTCAGGTAGCTACAGCTTCTACTGAGGGGCAGTGAGAGTTACAGGATCAAATGAATTCTTTCACTCAGGGTAGTAGGGTTAGGAGCTCTCCTGACTGGGGCACTTGTAGGAAGTGCAGACGACTGAGGACAGGCACGTCTCACTAAGTTTCAGGAAATTTAAGGAAAACCAAACCAAATCAAACCCAGCCCAATGAAACTATGACTCTGATATTGTGTTACATGACAAAATCTTAAGTCGTTTTATCTGCTGGGATAAGGTGCTACCAGTGTAGATGAATTTATCATTTATCTAAAGTGATCGTTACAATATGTCTGCGTCACAATAATGTGAGACCCCTGGAGGCAGGGACCATGTCTGGCTAATGGCTCCAGGTACCAGCACAGGCTCAGGCCCATAGCAGGAGTACAGTGAATGCCATGAACTGAACTCAGCTACATTCCCTGGGAACACCCTCAACCTTGTGTCCAAAATCAGACCATGGGCAATGCAGAAGACATCCCATTTCCTTATCTTCCTTCTCCCTTCCTCTCAGGTATCTACTGCACAGAAGAAAACAGCTAGCTTGCCGAACAAGATTTTCAGCAGTTTCCAAAGTAAAGGCTGGAGACCAACTGGGGCACACAGCAAGAAAATACAACCTCATGCAAACGTTTTCATCTAACCCAAGGTCTCACAGATCCCTTTTGTGAACCTCGTGCACTTCCCAGTGAGTCCAGCCTTAGCAATTTGGGGCAATCTGACAGTGACTGGCCCTAAACTTCTCCCCAAGAACAGCTGCTTAACGTTGTCGGAGCTCAGCAGTGGCCTCTCCAGAGCTGTGGGCCAAAGAGAAACACACCGTTCCAAACCTCCAACAGCGATGACACTGCACAGACTATGCAAACAGGAGCGTGCTTGGTGGCACAGCATGAATCAGGGCTCTCTGGAAAGTTGGCCAGCAAGGCAAATACACACTAGTTGTCCCATGCTTTCCCTACCCTGAAAAAAATCATGGCCTCTGATACCAGGGGACATTTACATGGGGAGAGGAAGCCAGACTGAAATTCTTTATCTATGAGGTATCTGAAAATGCTCCCGCATACTTCCAAAGAAAGAAAAGATTTTGTTACCTTGATGTGTCTAAGCTGTAAATCTTCTTCCCCATAATCTTTAACCTCTCCATCTTCTTCTACATGATTAAGAGAAAGCTTGGGGATTTTTATTTTCTTCTGCATCACACTGTTTTCAAGGTCAGATTTGTCTTCTAAAATGCATATCAAGAGAACAAGGTTCATCATGAGTTAAAATGAGTCATTATGAGTTTGGAATGCCCAAAACCTCAAATGCTAGAAAATAATCGAGGCCAGACCAGTTAAAAACGAAAAACAAACAAACAAACTCAAGGCCGGTTCCCTCTTGCATGCAGGCATCCTAATAGCAGTGCAGATCAAACTCTAGGAACAAAGGTGCTTGCAAAAAGCACTGTCATACAAAGTGTTGAAATAGCAGCCAGTGAATTTGCTTAGGGGTTTCTCTAAGTGTACCTTAATGGGTGGCCTTTTATGGAATTCTAGAATCTTGAATTGGAACAGCCCTTAGATTGCTATCTGACCTAAACTAAAATGGCCCATGAATCCCTCAACTCAACTGTGATCTTTCTAAGCCAAGTGTCTTCCCAGGAGAACTTGGTGGGTTTCTGTCAGCTCAAGTACCAATAGACATGAGAGAGATTATAGCTGATAGGGATGTAAGGAAGGGCAGGGGTATCTCCACAGCCCTACACAAGGCAGGCTAAGGTAAGGCAGACGGGGGAAGAATAACATTTATCCCCTTTTTACTGGTATCAAATCTCAGCATGCCTGAGTCTGAGGGACCTCAGTGAACAAGTGGTCCAACTCTCTCATGTTACATGAGGAAATTCAAACCCAGAGGATGGAAGAGGCTTGCCAACGGCATGAGCTGAGGAACAGCCAGGAGTGGGAAAGAGGCCTCTGGCACCTCGCCCACTGCTTACATGTGCTGACAACACATACTGAACGTAAAGTGCTACACAAATACAAAAGGATATTATTTCTACTCATTTTCTCATTCTTTAAGCTCAACTTCAGATAATCTGTTTTTTTTTTTTTTTTCTGCACAGATTTCAAACTGGACTTTCCAGATTTGTCTCTCACTGGATATGTCCAAAAATAAAAGTTCAAACAAGAGGGCTCCAGAGGTAAAAATCTCAATCTTTTCTGGAACTGTACCCTTGTGGTAAAATACTTTGTGTTCAAAGCTTAAATTGACACTTTAGAGATTGCTGTTTCTCATAGTCCTCAAAGGTTCCCATTGCTATATCCCAAATGTGTTTTGTAGCATGTTGCCCAATGTTGGATGTAGCATATGGCCAGGTAGTTAGTTAAATCCAGTCTTGAAGGGGTGTGTGTGTGTGTGTGTGTGTGTGTGTGTGTATACGTATGCATGTATTTGCATGTGTTAAACATGCTCTTACACTGTTCCCAGGCCAGGCTTCTCTCCTCACAACTTGTTAGTAAAGCTGAGAAGGCAGCTTATAAGCACATAACTATTCCAGAATGTACTCAAATGCTGAATCTTCCCAAACAGTCTTAGTGATGAAGGCCCAGCTGGTCAGAGGTGGGAGTCCAATATCAGAGACTTAAGTGTGAACCTCAGCTTTTCTATGACAGGAAGAGGACAGGTATGTAAGGGCCTTAATCTCTCTGGACATAATGGAGGTTGTGAGGATGAGAGCAATAATTCACGCAACTCACTGGACAATGCCTGCTACACACTGGCCATTCGATGGATGGCACAATATAATTGGTATTGTCAATGTGTTCTGAATCATTTTCTTCTCTTAAGCATAAAGTGAATAGAGATTTAATTTAAAAAAATGAAGAAATGACTTAAGTAGGGTAAGGATGATAAATGAACTGCTCAGAAAAAAAGGAGGTGGTCTTTGTTAACAACCCCCTAGGGATGAAAATGGCCTTTCCCACTGAGCAGAGGAGCAACCCTTGGGTTTCTATTTTCACAACAATGGCTCGTTCTTGCACTCTTTGTGCCTATAAAACGCATCCAATGGGTTATGAACAACAATAGGGACTCGGGGTTTTCTAAAAGAGCAACAGTTTCCCTCCTACAAATCACTGCTGACTTATAAGTTAAAGGGATGCTAAAATGTAAAACCTAAAGAAAGTACTTCAGATGAAATTATCTTACCATGGTGTTTGTGTATGTGTGTATGTTTGTGTGTCTGTGTATGTGTGTGTGTGGAAAAAAACAGACAAAAAGAGAGAAAGAGAGAGAGAGAGGATGAGGGTGGTATTAGGATTTCTGAATGTGTTGGGGCAAAGCTCCTGGGCTAGTCTTCAATTTGACAAGTTCAGGACAAAGTTTGACATGCAGAGCCACCAAACTAGAAATGACAAGCTATGTTATGCCTTCCTGGGCTGAAACTCTGTAGCTCAGGATCATGTTGGTGTGGAGAAAAGCAATCATTCGGACTCACAAAACCACGTTAACATCTGGACGGAGAATGATCCTCGGATCATCCAATTCTATTTTTCAAAATGCAGATGAGAAAAATAAGGTTCTAAATGGTGAAGTCTGTGCATCCATGCATGCAACTCTCAGGCCCAGGAATAAAGGAGGGGCAGGATGAACAGGGTCCCTATCCTGGAGAGCTCACTGTTGTGCAAGGTCACAGAAGTTAGTGTCATTACATGAATGGGGAAGAACTTGGACCACTCCAGATCCAGAGCTTTGCTTTCTATGCCTTGACTTAACCTTTACTGAGAATTTACTCTGTAGGATCTAAACTAGGTCCTAGGGACACATATGAACAAACATCCAGCTGAGGATATAAGATAAAAACACAAGAAAAGATAACCCAAGATCTCAAAAGCTGAATTTGAATAAAGGAGAAGCAACTGCTAAAGGATTCTGGGAGCAAGGGAAATCACTTCGGTCAGTGTAACCCTGGAAGGCTTTTGAAAGGAGGTGGCATTTGAGCTGGACTCCTTACTTGCTAGGTAAGTTAGGAGTAAGTTAATTTACTTCTCTGAGGCTATTTCCTTATCTATGAATTGAAGTAAATAATTCCTACTCACATTGCAGAACATTGTGAAGATTACCAATTCGGTGTGTTAAAAACTTGAGTAGAGTGAATGGCACTTCAACAGTTGGTGCTCATAAAAGGATAGCCATTTAAAGGATGGTAAGAATCTGGACTACACAAGAGGGGTAAAGAATAGAAGCCAAATGGGGAAGGCTGGGGAAATATTTAGATCGAAATGGTTAGATCGAGATGGTTCAGTTACAGGCAGGAGGGAGAGGTGAGAAGGGAAGAAAAGGTGGTGGGAACTAGAAAATAAGTGGCCTTGAATGCCAAGTTAAGAAGAGCTGAGGCTCAGTGTGCCGATGGGGAATAAACTAGGCATCAGACAACCTGGATTCCAAGTCCAGTTCTGTCGCTTTGTAGGTGTGAGATGTCAGGAAGTGGCTACCTCATTGAGCATAATTTTTCTCTGTAGAAATGGAGACACAATATCTACCTCAAGTCGGATCAAATCAGCTCAGTAAATGTTCCTTGAAAACAACAGAGCCCCGACAAAGAGATAAAGACACAAAGACGCAGTGGATGACACAGCTCAGCAAGGATTGCCTGCTGGCTTCTGCTGGCTTAGTGCTTGGGGCAGGCTTGCTTCTGGAGGTAGAGACCTGCTTAGCTGCCTAAGATGGGTGACACTCCCCATCTGATGACAGGAGGCCTCATCGCCCTACCAGCTATACTCAAGGCTCTAGGCTCTTCCATCTAATTAGAATGCCCTTCTTTCTTGTGTGCTTGACAAACTCTGTTTAGCTTCCACTCATCTTCTCCCCTGCTCTCAAAGGTGCCATTACACATCTACACATCCTACATACCTTCTTTGTAGTCTATTATCTTACTATTTGCAATTATCAGCTTAAAGATCTTATCCACTGGTGTATGAGTAACCTCAGGGTAGGGCCCATATCACAGAACTATCCATACAATAGAGACTCATCAAACAAAAATGTTTAATGAAAAAATAATAAAAAGAGGCTACACCAATAAGCATATGAAAGGAGCTCAACATCGTCAGTCATTAGGGAAATGCAAATCAAAACTACAATGAGATACCACTTTATACTCATTAGGATGGCTCAAATCAAAAATAAAAGTAAAATAACAAGTGTTGTAAAGAATGTAAAGATATTGGAACTTTCATACATTCCTGTTGGGGAATGTAGAATGGGCAGCCACAGTAGAGAACAGTATGGCAGCTCCTCAGAAAACTAAACACAGAATTACCATAACCCAGCAATTCCACTCCGGGGTGTATATGCAAGATAAATGAAAACATATACCCAAACAAAAACGTATACACAAATGTTCATAGCAGCATTATTATTAACAGCCAAAAGGTGGAAAAAACCCAACTGTTCATCAACTTATGAATGGCTAACAAAATGTGGTATACCCATACAAGAGAGTATCATTCAACCATAAAGAGAAATGATGTACTGACTCATGCTACAACATGGATGAATCTTAAAAATATTATGCAAAGTAAAAGAAGTCAGACACAAAGGCCATTTATTGATTTCATTTATATGAAATGTTCAGAATGGGTAAATCCATAGAGACAAAAAGTAGTTTCGTTGTTACCAAGAGCAGGCGGAAAAGGGCAATAAAGAGTGACTGCTCAATGGGTAACACGGATTTCTTTTCTTTCTGAGTGATAAAAATGTTCTGGAATAAAATAGTGGTGATGGTTACAGAACACTGGGAATATATATACTAAAAAACACTCACTTGCACACACTTTAAAATGGTTAAAATGGTGAAATTCACATCAAATGAAATATATCTCAATAAAAAATTAAGTTACCACTTGTGGAATGTCTACTACATGTCAGATACCTCTATAAAGATCTTCATAAAAATTATACCTCATAACAACCCTGCAAGTAGGTATTAGAAGCCACATTTTTTTTTTCCCCAAAAAAGAAGAAATGAGCCTTAAAGAAAAAAAACTCTCTTCCTAAAGTCACCCAGCTGGGAAGGTACACAGCCAAGATGTGCTATAATCAACATGCCTCCTAAGCCTATGCTTTATCCCCTCTAAACACATTCCTGGAACATGGTAGAGCCAGAATAAATACTGAATGAATGAGTGAATGATAGCTACAGTTGAGGACATCCAAATTCCCCAACCTAAGTTCAAAGCAGAAGAC